TGGGACCTCCTTCTGTATATACTACCTCAATGCGTGTATATTTTTTGCGACAAATAAAAATAAATAAATAAAAAAAAGAGAGGCACCACATATTGGAAGTCTCAGTGCTCTACGTATAAGAGTGAATTCAGATACTGTAGAGTATCGTGTTCAAAATAGTTACTCCTATCTGCTAAAACAGCCTTTCTTCACCAAATGCGGTCACGTTTACTCGCATTTGAAGCTTATTGCCGGCTTTTCCGTTCCGATTTATAGGATTTCTCAACTTATCAGCACATTCTCGAAAAGCTCTGATTTGTACCACGAATATTGTCGCTAAAAACAAAATAATGCAACACGTTTTTCTATATTACTGTATGATGGCCTTCGGTTGTCTATTTATGAGATTTTAAGAAAAATCGAAGATGGGGTTTTTCTTATTATTCAAATTTCAGTGGAGTACACTTTTGCTTATATGAGAACTTTGAGGCAATATATAAAAATTTACATTTGCCCTACGGCAGCAATAATTTATGTACCTAATGAACACACTATATTCTTAAAACGTAGCAAGTTTGAAAACGCTGCTTGCATTCACTTTCGGGGAAAAAAAATGGGGAATACGTAACTCATTTTAAACTGTCGCAAAATTAGACATTTTTAAAAGCTATTTTCTTAAGGTCTGCAAACTTGAAACCGTATGAATTCATTCTTCATTAGACATGCATTTCAGGTAAAAAATATCTTCCTTGAAACAGAAATGCGTATTTGTCTTTTTATAGCATCTGCGATTTTCGAAAATGACAGGTGACGAAGTTGGTGCCTCCGTGTTGGTGAATATTTTTTTCCTCGTAGGTTATGTCGTTATTCATAAAATGAAGTTGACTTTCGGGCTACCTGGTGAGAGGTGCACGAAATATAAAATACTCAATGAAATCTAAAATATCAACCTTTGGACCCGTGTCGATCTCTCGTCGAATCACCCTAATGTTTCATTTTTAAGAGCAACAGTGAGCTTATGCAGTAGTTAATAATGTGACACAATGTCAAAACTGAAAAAAAAAAGGAATTAATATTGTGCAAATTTGATCACCTGCATATAAAGGACCTAGAGCATGTCATAAGAAAATTCACTGAGCTGCGTTATGGTACTAAACCCGCATAAAAAACCATGCTGGGCATCAAATAACGTGTTATTGAAGTCTAGAATTTCATGATATGTTTGAAGAGTATGTGCGGGAGTGTTTTACAAGAATGGCTTGTGATAGAGGTGGGTGTGTAGTTCAATAAAGACTGCTTGTTTCCGGACTAGAATAACGAAAGAATTTTACCCATTTTCAATGCTATAACAACAGACCTCGAGAGAGGTTTATGCACAATAATGGTTAGATATTGACTAGTTCATATAGAGTATCTAATGATGAATCCATTGTCAATATTATTAGGACTACCTTTTTTCTTTGAATCGACTTTTAATATGACATTGAACACACTCTGGTTTGAAACAATTATGTCGTCAACTGCTAGTCTGCCCTGTAAAAGGAGGAACATAGAAGTTATTGAGAGTAAAAATGTATTTAAAGTAATCATTAAATTCATTCGCAGTCAGAGTAATGTCACCTGTAACCATGTATTTTATTTCAAATGTATCAGTTGTAGATTCCAATGGTAGTAGAGATCTGCATCTGTAAAGAGGATTTATTTCCATACAGACGTGAACTTATTTCTGAGCAAGACCAGAAGTGTAGCTTGCAAATAAAAATTATGAGCAGCTTTAGCATTGCTTCGAAGTTTCTCTTTTAGGGCAATGAAGTATGCAGGAACAACAGCATCACAAGGGCATATAATAGGCCGCAAAAGCCCAAGTCGTCGCGAAAGGTGCAAAATTTCCCGTGTGATTCAAGGCAGTTCTGAATTCGTGCTTGTTGTTTTTATCGGAACGAAACGTGTGCTGCACATTGTAACAAGATCACTAAAAAATTTGGTTCAAGTGCCGACATCTTCAAAAATATCAATTGCTTCAAATTGGTTAAAAGAAATACTAAGTGTTTCAATATTACCAGTATCATCAGCATTGCTCACAGAATGCAAAACGACTTTATGATCAGAAATACCCTCTACAACAGTGCACTTGTGTCACACAGGTCCCGTTAATTAGGGAGGCGATCGCCGGGCTAATTCCAAGGGCCGAAGTATCGGCCCCCCGAACCGCACCACGAAAGCGTGGACAATTTAGAAGTGGTCCTTTTTGGCGCGCCAGCGGACGCCGGCTGTGGCCCAAAGAACAAGTCAGAGCCGAGAGTTGATAAACAAACAAAACTATATTCTCAATATAGGCAGATCAGGAAAACAGTACACAAATATGCTCACTCCACAATAGCTGAGTACAATATGCCACCGATCAAACAACGTACTACACAGTACAATTAGCCACACTCGAACAACGGACACAGACAACAGTACACACTACAAAGTAGTCGCATGCATTGAACAACCAAGACACTTTAAGACTAAAGAGATATAAAACCTATTCAGTCCAAAGTCCTTGGAACAAAAGTCTGAATGATACTCTTCCGAGAATCACTCACTCAAAGTCCAGTGTTGTTGCCGTTCCGCGGCCCCCTGAAGTTCCTCTTCCAGGAAACCTCGTGTCTTCAATCGGCCACTCTCCAAGCTTCAAACTTCTCCGCCGGAAACACGTCGGCTTCACACACGCAGCTGTTGCCACGCGTCTTCGCTCGATAGCGGTAGACACACATTCTTGCCTGTAGCTCGAGTCGTCACCCCTCAGGTGGAAAATATCTTCTTCTCCTGCTTTGTCTCTACGGACAAAACCTTCGCCGACTACACGGCGGAATCCCTATGCGCTCTGGCGCTCACTTCCGTCTTCTCCTCCTCTCGTCTCCGCTGCTCGGTTAAATACCTTCTGCGCGAGATTCCAGAAGGTTCTCGTCATTTCGTCGGCGCGATACGCAGCGAAGGCTGGGGAGAGGCGAGACAGTTCGAATGCCCTCCGCGTCAGATGAGTCAACTCGGTCTGACCACGCCTATTTCCTTTTGGAACTTTCCAGCGCTTGCTAGGCCGCCGTTGTGGGGTGAGGAGGTTCGTCGGCGAAGCCACGCTTCCGAGAGGAGAGCACGTGCCCCGGGGAGCCTTGGATGTTTGTTTTCTTTTTCTTTTTTTTCTTTGTCCTCGCGGCGTTTCTCCCGCCCGTTATCGCAAGAATTTGGCGGCGCGCCCATTTTTAGCGCTCGTTCTGTGACAACTTGTAACCATAATCACAGACTCCAGGGCTGAAGAAAACAAAATATAGGTAAGATCGCTGTGCCTCCTGTGGTACCACTGACTATTTGCTTTAGACAGGAAGTCAGTGAAAAGTTCAGCGTTTAACGGTACAGCTGGGAAGCATGACCTAGCGATGATAACAATATCCAATTTATATCAGGGACATTAAAATCACCCATACATATTGGATTTGGCCAATGTGGAGCTATTTCTTGGACGAATACACTCAAGGAAACCAAAGAGTCTATGATTAAGGGCTCTGTCAGATGGAGCGGAAGTTTGGCAAGCGTTTCATGGCCCCGTCTGTGGGTGAAATGTCTGTGAGGAGTCGGCTCGAAAAAGCCTAGAGGGATAAACTCATGGTGCTGGCGTATTTTAGTTGCAGTGGCCACTACAAGAAGGATTGTTCTTTTTGGTGTGTAAAATTTCATCTGATTCAATGATCTCTTTCATAAATAAAACCTCAATTTCAACTTGAAACTGGTTTTTCTCAAAACACAATTTTCGCCATTTTTTCCAATATGCCCCTCCTTTTTTGGGCACTTCTAGTGCTCGGATCTGCGTGAAATTTTGCCCAAATTTTTTCCAAAGTATGAAAAACGCGATTATCTAGTCTAAACTTCAATATTTCATTGTATAATAAAAATTGTATGTATACCTTTACTAGGGTAGGTTAAATATAGACTTTTTACGTCTATTATTTTCATGCATATTACATATTTTTATATGTGCTTCCCAATTAGTTATTTGCACTCTACACTTTATTTGAAGCATTATGAACTATGAATCGCAAAAAATTACAGAAGTTAAGGGATGAAAAGAGGGGGGCAAAAGGATTAGGTTTTTCACTTTGTCATGTTACAGAGCTAAAAGTGTGTAACTTGCAAGAAAACTAATTATATATTTGAAATCAGCATAAAAAGTTTCATAAACAGTTCAAGTTTCATTGCTCCAGGGTGAACATTTAAAAAAAAGTGTCTTCGAGTAGCTTCTCCCCTTAAGTTAGGATGGACAATAAAAGACACCAACAAGAAAAGCAATGTTTCGAAATAAGCTTTACACTAAACTGATTCACTTTGAGACGGACTATTGAGCACAGAAAATTTTAAGTTGGACTGCAAGTATAAAGCAACGCCACCACCTCTTTCATTGATTCGGTCAGTTAGTTATGACATTAAAGCTCATGAAGCGAAATGCAGTCTGCAGCTTTTCTATTTTTTTTTTTCTACTCAGCCCGAATTCGACATACCATAGTATTTTTAAAATTTTTTTTTCTTGACTGCAGACTTTCGGAGCCAGCCAAGATACATGAAAAAATGGTGCACTGCCACTATAAGTCACAACTATCTACAGAACTAGGGATCTAGCCCACCGGTGATGACTAAACACACTTGAAAAAAACTGGCAACTTCATATTGGAGCATTTGCTTGCACTACAATTTGATAGAAAACTGCCATTTGATTAGAGAAAGTGCACTCCATAAGTGAACTACAATGTCTAGAATGATCGCCCCTCACTGAAGGCCCTAGTGATACATTATTTTGGAATGCACTATTTATAGGATTGGTCAAGGAAGACAAAGAGACAGTGCACAAGAAAAAAAGATTTCCTTTTCGCATCTGAAGCACCTGCATAAAATTTGCTTTGCGTCGTGAAGTGACATTGATGTGATTGACGACCTCACCAACACTGGTGACATGGAGTGATAGCCCCTGGCAATGACTCTGCACCCACCGTGTACAAGCCGTGGTCGAGCAGCACCAGTGTCGGTCCCTGGCTGCCCTGCCGCACCAGCAGGTTTCCTGGGTGAGGGTCACAGTGCACGTAGCCTTGGACAAAGATCATTTCACTGTACAGCTGGCCCAGACGACTGGACACCTAGAAACACCAACATCGCACATGCCTACACATCAGATCTGCGATTAGAGGAGCACTGAAGAAAAACAATGACTTGGTTTAGATTGACAAACTGCGCTATCAAAACACTAATGTCATACGTTTCACTATCACAAGTTCATTATAGGCAGATAACATCAAGGCTGAAGTTAAAGTTTTAAATTTTGCACCGAAATTTTCATGCATAACATCAGAAGTTTTGAAATGTATTTTTCGTATTTATGCGACATTAGCTCGATAAAGTTTTCTGAAGCTTCGCATAATAGATTTATGGAACCCACAAATGACAATGTACTATAAAAAGCAAAAGTTTACGAACGCGAAATGTCCCATAAAGCTGAATTCCCGCTTTGTCTGGGAATGTAATTTTGAAATAAATGTTGTATACTGCACTTGGCATTTCGACCTATACAGTCACCCACTTGATTAAAAGCATTAAGCAGTGATATAGCAGAAATCTGCATTTGTCATTGATCTAACGTCCCACAAGCTTTTGCTGTTGATAGTACAGCATAGGCCACTTATAATGTAACTGCTTTAAGATACAGAACCGCTTTCAATGCGGTCTATTTCTGTTCCCGTTTACCCTCCCATAGAATGTCTTGTACATGCATACTACTTATTGTGCAGTCCCCCAAGATAAAAGGACCGGTTATAATGCGGTTGCCGGAAATCGTTTGTGCTAAACGCGGTAGCGAGTAGCGTTAAGTGCTTCGTTAGGGAGCAAACGACAAGGTTGTTACGGAGGAGGAGGGGACGCGGAGTGAACAAACGAAGTGCGGAGGGAAGAAAAACAAAATTTTAAAAAAGACTGCGGGACACTACCCGGACTCGCCGAGCAAGAGAGGAGGACAATGGCCTCGGTCACCGATAAGCCTTTGCACCGGTGCCGACGCGGCTACAGGGTACTATGTCGCTAGCGTGGCTTCAGCCGCGGGCCGCTCAACGTGGCACGTGCGATCCCGTCCTTATCAACTACGTGCGCTTAACAGTTTTCTGTCGGGCTACACATCGTCGTTATCGTGCTTGCAACAAATATCGTGTTTGACTCCTCATCCGTAAATATGAAAACATTTTACAGTTTTATGACGCAAGCTATCACTTTTGCTGTCAGTGCGCTGTCGTAAGTAAGCTTGGCGAGTTTATGATGAAACAAGCGCTAAATATTACACACACTCACATAGGACACAGACAAGCTCTTACTAGCAACTGAAAATTTTATTTCGAAGCGAACACTAATAAATACATCACACACATGTACGTCATTCCCAACTTCCCCCTGTCATCATCAACAACGTGATATACCAAAATAATTACTCCCATAATCTATGGCACACAGCTGGAAACAAACACGCGTCAAGAGCTAAAAAAAGAAAACTTAAAACAGAAAAAAATGCACTGAGCTATGTTACGTCCAAAAAAGCAAATTCCACATCTGTTAGTAGAACAGATGCTTGACTGACGCAACTGTCACCTCCTTTCCTAATTCGATACGCTTCCATTATTTACCTCATCGTTCGCTTCTTGTGCCTGTCAATTATTCGTGTGTCTGAATATTTCAGTACGAAGGTGCACTCCCTGCAGTGCGTCGCTAAGTGTGAGTAAGGGGCCCCCTTTAGTGAACTCTCATATTCATGAATTCGCACGTTCAGGCACCGACCCGTCTGACCAACGTATTCCTTTCTACATGTGAAAAGAGTTCTGTATACAGCATCGTTTTTGCACTCAATGTACCTCCTGCTATGTTTTATGCTACATCTGTCCGATTCTCCCGTTCCTTTATTGTTAGCTAGCCTTTCTACTGCTGGGCAAATCTTCGATAATTTGTTTTTAGCTGAAAAGACAACCTGCACGCCATGCCTTTATGCAACTTTTTTCAACCGATGTAAAATATTGTGCAGATACGGGATGACCACTGTCCGCTCTTTTTCACCCTCAACTTGTCTCCCCTCTTTGCGTGTACAGATCATTGTATTTTTCACTTCGCGACGATTCTTCTCACAGGTCAATAGTTGTCGACCCTCGTTGTCGACCCGGCCACCAATAGTTGTCGACCCAGCCACCAACTTCGTATCACGCACGCGATTCTTAATTCACTGTTAGTGCGATCTTTTTGACGCCCAATCTTTATGTTCTGGACAAGCTTTCCGTGACAACATACCAAACGGCAAGCTAGACATAATCGGTGTTGGTTGGGCTTCGATCGGTAGCGGTCGTGTGAATCTAAGTTGCGGTTTGGTACCAAACCAACAAAACTCTTTGCGGTGGCCGCACGTGATGAGAAGAGATACAGATTGTGATGTCTTACATAGGGTGCGCGCCCAAGAAATCGAATGGTTGGCGTCTATCAACGCGTCAAGCACGTGTCGCATGTTTCGATTGTCGAACACGCGGAGCTGCATGCTCAACACTTTTTGCACAACTGCGGCCATTGAAAAACGTTGTTTTGGTTACAGTGCGGTACCGCTTATAGTGTGAATATTCGGGACTCCCGCAATTTACGTTATATGTGGTCTATACTGTACTTCATTTTTATCAATTAGAAGCTACATAGAACCCAGCAGATGCCTTCAATATTTATGAAGTCACGGTGTTTGATGCGAGAATCTCAAGGTGGCGTCTCCACCCACGTTTTCTTTTTGGGAGTTTTCCCACTTACCAAGTGTCGCATTGCGGTAAGAGTGCAGTTTTCGTGATTGGGTAATTACTTCACTAATATGCAAAAGATCGTTTTGCACTTCCATCATCATCATCCTCAGCCCGACTACATCCACTGCAGGGCAAAGGCCTCTCCCATGATCCGCCAATCAACCCGGTCTTGTGCTTTCCATTGTTACGTCATACCTGCGAAGATTTTAATCTCATCAGCCCACCTAACTTTCTGTCTCCCCTTTGTGCGTTTGCCTTCTTTGCAAATCCAGTCACCCCCAATGACTAGCGGTTATCCTGCCTATGTGCTGCGTGCCCAGCCCATGTTTATTTCTTCTTGGTTTCAACTCTTTAGTGTCCCTTTAATGAGGCCATGACACAAATTTTTCGGTCATACTCTGTGTTGTGTAGGTTAATTCTTGTGCTATGAAAAAAAGTTGGTAAAATTAGGGTGCATATGGTTGAGTCCTTCATTTATAAATGAATCTTTTTGTAAACATGCGCCAACAGCGTGAGAGTTGTGCAACACTGGAGCACTTGCAAGCCTTGACGTCAAAAGCTGCTTCTTTGTGAGTGCCCTGGATTCCACGGAGCAATTTCATTCTGAGCTGAAACTGCGGAATGTGTGCAGTAGTCCAGCTCACACCAACTACCACTATGTTGGAGCTGCACTTACAAGTATTTGGTTTCCTGCATGCTGTCATAGGGCGACTTCACGAAAATTCAAACTGTAAACATGGCGGCCAACAATCAGGTTCAACAAAACCGAATTTATTTATTTATTTCATAATACTGTCAGCCCTCTTTTGAGGGCTCTTACAGAGAGGGCACAATCAAATACAAATCAACCAGTATACATCTATATCAGGTGGTCGCACAACTAAATAATACATGAGTGACACTTTATCAAATCGGCAACCACTGCCTGCATTTACAGCAATGCCTGGCTACGCATTACAAGGCTTAAACACAGCTGGGAGAGAAAAAAAACCAAAGAAACTAAAACCAAGAAAACTTGCAGGCTTATCATCTGGCAGCTCCATTGCTCAAATACATGGCCAACAATTTTTCGAATTGGCAAAGATCGCTAGCATTTATTACAATGCCTGGCAACGCATTCCAAAGCTCAATCATAGCTGTTAAAAAAGGATAATGAAACAGTTCACTCTGACAGTAGTACGGTACTAAAACACAGTCGTGATTAACCCGACTGCTTCGTTTTCTTGGCATTTTTAAATATAAATCTTTGTTAATTTTTAGCTGTCTTTGCAGTATCCAAAAAGAGCTTTCAACCGTTTTTTTTTTTTTTTGTCTTTGTGCCTCAAGCGGTTCCGGTTCACAGGACTCCAACATCTGCGTGACAGAATCTAACCGGCGGTAATTCGTGCATATGAAGCGGACGGCACAGCGTTGAACTTTTTCAAATTTTGCTCTCAGGCTGTCTTGATGAGGACTCCACATAACTTTTTCATAATTTAATTTATACCTTTATTTTATTATTTATTTACAAAATTTCTGCTGGCTTCAAAGTGAAGCCATAAGCAGGAGTGGGTAACATATAAATATAGCCCACTGAACATTTTCACAATATATTACGCACAGAGAATGCCGCAGATACACAGGTTTTAACACGGTAAAAAGAAAAATATACAGTGCATGACATGCAACTGCGGATAGGCATAATACCTATATAAGTGCGTACTAACATCACTTGTGTACTAACAACGCAACGTCACAAAACAAAGAGTGCAAATATGGCACGAAGACATGCTATAAGTTTTTTAGCTCCGATAAGAATGATGCCACTGTCGCCACCTCCACAATTCCACCAGGGAGGCGATTCCACTCACGTACAATTCGTGGAAAAAAAGAGCCCATGTGCGAGTTTGTTATGCAAGAAAATTCCTGTAATTTTTTTAGTGATCCGCCCGCGTGGGTCGTTGCATGACTTTTTCTATATACGCACTTGAATCAATGCCAAGCTTATCGTGATAGAGCAGGTACATATATTTTAGTCTTTCGCGATATCGCCGCAAATGTAAAGCTTCGAAGTTCGCTGTCTGAAGCAAAGCAGTGACTGGCGTAAGGCGATTGACTGAGCGAAAGATAAATCGAGCAGATTTTCTTTGTAGGTTTTCTAGTTTATCAATATTTTTCTTTGTGTATGGGTCCTAGACCACGCAGGCATATTCCAAAAGGGGACGAATGTAGGTTTTATATGCTAATAGTTTTATTTCTTGCGTTGACTGTCGTAACGATCTTCTAAAATATCCAAGCTTTTTCATGGCTTTCTTTTCTAGAAAAGTGATATGTTCATTCCACCGGAGGTCTGAAGTGATTATTAAACCTAAGTATTTATAACGATTCAGAGCACTAAGACAGCGACCATTTGTTGAATACTGGAAAGTAAGTGGTGCCTTCCTTCTTGAAATTGTCATTGAGATGGTTTTTGTAGTACTGATGCTCATCTGCCATTTTTCACACCAAATATGTAGTTTGTCCAGGGCACTACTTAATAATGCCTGACCGGCAGGTGTGTTTACTTCCTGATAAAGGATGCAATCGTCCACGAAGAGTTAGATTTTGACAGGGTATATCATTTACGATATCATTTATATAAACTAAAAAAAATAGTGGCCCGAGAACCGACCCTTGGGGAATGCCTGATCGCACGGGCGCCGGGCGTGAACACGAGCCGCCAATTGATGCGCATTGACTCCTAGACCATAAGTATGACTCTATCCATGAGAGAAGTGAGTTATTTTGTAATATGGGTTTTATTTTAACAAAAGCTTATGGTGCAATACGCAATCAAATGCCTTCTGGAAGTCAAAAAAAATTATATGGATTTGACTCTGTTAATCTAAGGCTGAGGCAAACTCGTGTATTGTCTCAAAAAGTTGGCTAACTGTCGACATTCCCCTTACGGGAACCATGTTGTCGGCAATCAATCAATTTATTTTATTGCAGAAAGTTTGACAAGTGCGTAAAAATAATATGTTCTAGCCATTTTGAGCAGGTACACAGTAAAGATATTGGTCTGTATGACATAATTAGTGAAAGATTTTCCGCCTTAGGGATCGGAACAACCTTCGCGCGCTTCCAATCTCTCGGGAGTTCTGCAGTGGACAATGTTTTTTGAATATAATAGATAAATACTTTGAGCACCATTCTGCATACCTTACTAGAAATGCGCTCGGTATGCAATCAATTCCTGGTGATTTCTTCATATTGATATTAAGCAGCAGTGATAAGACACCCTCTTCAGTTATCATTAAGTCAGAAATTTTAGGTACGTCCTGAGAAATCGCAAAATTTGGTTGCTTTCCATCGTCATTTGTGTAGACTGAACAGAAGAACTTGTTAAACGATGACGCAAGGAGTGATTCATCAGTTACCAATTCTCCATTAATGAGGATTTTATATGCCTGTTGCTTCCTAGGTGACAAGTGTCGACAGAACTTTGCAGGAGCAGAAAGCAAGAAGTTTTTCAAAGATATGTTGAAAAAGTAGTCTTTTGCCTTCTTTATGGTTTCATTTAACTGCAGACGCATATTAGAAAATTTTGATACATGAGGAGACTGATGTGTTCTGGCGCAGTTTTTTGCGCATCTTTAGTTTGCGTCCCGCTCACACTACTTCCCTCGTCATCCAAGGGCGAGCAGATTGCGTTCTGATAATCTTTGAGGGGACACGACTTGAGACGCATTTCATAACAAGATTCTTGAATGAACCCCACAAATCTTTGACAGAGCAACTACTTGACTCATAAATATCACTGAAATCAAAAAACGATATATCTAACAGGTCAAGAAGGGCGACGTCATCAGCACGAGTGAAATTTGGCACTGCGCGTTTTTCCTTCACTTCTTTCCTTACGCGCAGTGGAATGCTTAAAGATAACAATCGATCGTCGGATACACCGTCATAGGCGCACAAAGCAGGATTTCGATGAAGGATTCTGTCACTCACAAGAAAAAGATCCAAAATAGATTGTGCGTTACTTTGAATACGGGTGGGTTGTTTTACTAACTGTGTCAAGTCATGAAAAATAACAATGTCGACCAAGGGCTCAGCAGCACTAGAAAGCGGTTCCGGGAAGTCCGCGTTTCATTTAACTTGAGGAATATTAAAATCGCCAGCTAACAATATATTACAAGTGCTTGTGTTGCAAGAACAAAGAAAATCATTAACACCATCAAAAAACGCCTTCTCGGCATTTGTAGGGCGGTAAAATGCACCCACAACCAGGTTCATTTCCTCAAGGTGTATTTTAATAATGACACTTTCAATACCGTCTCTATCGGAAAGCCTAGTCACATGCTGGCAGATACCTTAGACACTTTTTATGGAATTTCGCAAGCAAAAAAAATTTAATCTATGAGTGACTACATTTTGAATGAAATAAAAAATTTCAAGATAACAAAGTTTCAATATAGCAAAGTAGATTTCTGAATCATGCGGACTTCATTATATTGAGGTTAAATTGAAATACTTACTAATTAAGTAATTCACTATGGTTTCTATAAAGGTCCCTGGATCGCATTGTGATTTTATATGCCCTGCTGTGCATCACACCATCTATGAACCTGCTATCAATGCTTATTTTAAAAGACTACCCACCTCCATGGCTGATATGCCGTTTTTTTCCATGTAGGGTTTGTCATTCACCTGGCCACCCTCGCAGAATTGCATGGTCATCACACGCCTTGTGGTCAGGTCCCAGTGAATCTCGGGAACCTGTAATCATAAAAAAAATCCCAGTGAATCTCGGGAACCTGTAATCATAAAAAAAATGCATCACCCAGCAATGGTTGGCTTTTTAAAGATTAGGGCCTACTTACATGGTGCTCAGTAAGCTATCTTAGTGGAAAACCAGAAAATACAAAGCTGGCGAAAGGATGGCTTGAAGCTAGAGCTGTCCCAACAGCAAAAGTTTGGGTGTGGAGAGAGTTCAAATAACACCGTTACAGTGCAATTTGAATTAAATAATTTTCAGACATTTGTAGAATACTCCAAAGCGAAGTTACAGAAAAATATTACAAAGAGTCAATAAACAAATTTTTATGAAACAAAAATAGCTACAAGCCACAATTACAGTGAAAGGACGAATATGTACTTAAGGAGGGTTGCGACTATAGTATCAGGCAAAATTAAAAAACAAGTTTTTGAAAATCACAATTTCAGTTTCTCTAACCTTTTTTCCCCATTACAAAGCATCTTCACTAAAAAATACGTAAAATACTTGTAAAATTTTCTATGGTGAAAAAATTTTCATGCTTGCCACAGTGGTAAGAATTATTACAGAAATCACACACACAAAAAAGACAGTACAAGAAAAAAATTACGGTTGCAAGACAGCACAACTGGGCACCATCATTCTGGGCTCATCGGAAAGAGCATTTTTCTTTCTTCATGTTTCTCACTTTAGCTAGGTCCTCCAGTCAGAAACAAGCATACCAAAAGCAAGTGCTTGATATTCATTGCGATGCCTCCAATTGGATTCATCTGCCACGTTGTTCTGCAACACCACCCAGGCAAACACAAGCTACACAATGCCATACAGGTGAACAGTGCGAGCATCTTTTTTATCAGTGTCAACGGCTGCTTAGATTGCCCCACCCTCACCCCTGCTTTTTATGGCACTAGTAATGTACCAATGGTATGGCCACCTGGAGATGATTTAAGTAAAACCGAGTATCTTTCTCTGATAAACCGCATTTCAGGCACCCACCTCGAGCCATGGGAAGTGGGAGAACATGCGGCGAACCCTCTCCGTGTTGTGTGCCTCGTTGATGAAGTCTAGCTCCAGAGGGAGGTTGCGCTTGGTCTCTTCTGCCAGCCACATGAGAGAAAATTCCGGGAATATCTTGGCCACTATGTTCACCAGCAGCTGCCAAAATACCAAGCAGGAGAACATATCACAAGAGCACTCTTTTGCGTCTCCGCAAACATTCTTCTCAGAGCTAATCTCTTAGCACAGTTTCCCCACATAGGGCCGCAAAGTGCACCAAGGGTATACAGAGTGAGCATAGCTCACAGAAAGAAAAGTAGCTTCACATTGCCGCATTAGTCCAACATAATACTTACTACACACGTGGTGTACAAACACAGTAAGCAGGTATTAAAAACACTCTCATGACAAAGGCAAGCACCCCATATAGCAAGTGTTCTCACACTGACAATGTGAACAGGCATCCACACTCCATGCAGATAGGCAGCAGGTATTGCATTTTAATTACCAAAGACACACCCACCTCCATGGTGGCCATGTCGACAAGGGAGTTCCCTAGCACGGAAGGGTGCTGCACCTTGACCGCCACCGTTTCGCCCGTACTGCGCAGGGTGGCACGGTGTACTTGGGCCAGGGACGCAGCACCAATGGGTTGCTCGGAGAATGAGGAGAACACCTCTTTTGGCTGTTTTCCAGAGCACAACAAAGCAGCAGGGTGAGGGAAGCGGGGACAGCAAGGAATTAAAGAGACCAACAACCAATTTTTATGGTACCTGTTTTCTTTAGCACAACACAAAGCTTATTAGGCAGAATTTCATAGTAAGAATGGTGACAAGGAAAATGCTTCAAGACATTATTATTCTAATTGTAGTGAAGAAGATGAGTGCTACTCAGAAAGGCAGAGGGTATCACTCAGTGTGTGAAGAAGACGGCGTTTGGTTGGCTACGTACACAGGCTGGTTCGGCCATTACCACTTCAGTTGTCGTGACCGCTCTTCTGGTATATAAAAGAGCGCTGCTCTTAAACGCCTCATTTTAAGATGTATTGTACTTTTCATGCTGAATATGGAGTCCAACTGGGTCTAATTTTATTTGACCGACGTCGCCAGTCTGTGGTACCGTAATCACGAGAGAACCTTGCCACCTGGTGAGCCTTCTGAACGGTGTTTGTGAACTTGTTTGGCTGTCCAACGCTTCATAAACCGAACAGCTCTTGCATACTAGGGCTCAGCAGAATGGTGAAAATTACACCAGTTATATCGAACAAGTGGTCGACCTTTGCCAGCGTGCCAACTAGGCCATGACAGAAGCCGAGACGATCAAACACGTTTTGAAAGGTGCGACTGACGACGCATTTCATATGCTTGTCGCCAAGAGCACGCAAACGATAGCGGAAGTGAACCGAATTTGTCCGAGCTATGACGAGCTCTGGAAACAGCGCGACACCAATCATCGTGCCAGCTCCCCATGTCTAACTGATCTCTGCCTTAACGTTGGCTCGCATTGCTGTAGACCAGATTACTTTGCTTCTCGAGATTCAAGCAATTCGTACGAGAACAGGTCACACGCCAGTTGTCCCTCGTGCATTATACCTTCAAAGGTGCCCCAGCTACTTTAGCGCCATAAATAGAGCCAGTCGTCCAGGAGCAAATGTTCTGAGGCGCTACCAACAGCTCACGCACCATCTGTGGCTACTCCACTGACCTATGCCGAAGCACTAAACGGAACCCGACGTTGGCCTGTCATGAATGCCCACGTTTCTTTGTCTCGAACACCTATGTTCACGCGCCTCTTTGTTGTATCACCTGAGCCTATACACCAGGCTGCCCGTCCTTTCTCCCAAACACCCCTACGCTTTCAGAACCCACGGCGCACTCAAGACAACTGCCCCACATGCTTCGCCAGTAGATTTGCGGGTCATGTGGCACGGTTTTGTCGACGGCGTGAGTTTTTCCTGCGTGACGATATCCGGCCCAACACTTATGATTTCCCACCGCGACCTGAGCCTGCTGTATCTGGCAAGCCTGCCACCATGCACACATTTTCAACTTGCCGTAACTTCAACAGACACCGGTCGCCTTCACCTCAACGCCGTTCCCTTTCCCCTATGCTACGTCGACCTCGCCCTGTGTCTCAGAGAAAGCTAGGAGCGGCAGTTTCAGGGGCAAGAACTGCCAATCTTTCGAACTAATGACTAAGAAACTTTGCCTGTCGACTAAAAAAAAGTCACAATGCCTCTTTACACTTTGTTTTGATCACTGTGAGCGAGCAACAAATTCGCCCTTTTGCTGCATGCACAGCACGTGTCGTTATCGCTGTCCTTATTTATGCCTGTCAAGTTTGTAGTGCTCCCGTAGTGTTCCCATGACATTATATTAGGCTGGGGCTTTCTCTGCACTCATCATGCCGTCATCGGATGTGCTCGCGCTGAAGTAGAGTTCTCACCGTTACGCGACTCTGCTTCACTCAACTCGCCCCTTTCTCCTGCAAAAGTTTTCGTTGCCACTGAGACTTCAATACCCCCGTTCTCACCCGCCCTAGTTCTGCTTTCCTGTGATGTCTTTAATGGCTTAACTGTTCTTTCTGCGCCTTCTGAAACACCTGTCCTCCACAAGTGCTTGCCGATTCCTTTTGCCGTTCTGAACATTGACGATGGATCAAGTGCAATTTTTTTTTCAAATCCGTTTCCCTTGCCTTCCAAGTTACTGTGCGGAGAGTGCCTGGGCTTTGCCAATGACGTTGATCCCTCGAAAGCACGTGTAGTTCCTGACCATTCGACTACGCTACCCAATTGACGATGTTGATTGCTCGACGTCACCCTCTTCCCCATCATTCACCGACGCAATTTCACACTGCATCGACGTCAACCTTACGGCCCAGCAGCACGACAACATCATCGCCCTGCTCGAACGCTTCCAGGCCAGCTTCAACCACCAGCAACTAACTTTGGGCTGTGCTTCAACAGTATCTCACCAAATCGACACTGGCCTTCACGCTCTTTTACGTCAGCGTTCGTATCGGGTATCGGCATCTGAGCGCCGTATAATCGCGGAACGAGTTGACGACAAGTTGAAGCGCGGCGTTATCGAGCCCTCTAACGTTTTGTGTGCTTCCCCAGTCGTTCTAGTCAAGAAAAAAGATGGATCACTAAGATTTTGCGACGACTACCGCCGGTTGAATAAGATCATGCGCAAAGATGTTTACCCTCTACCTCACATAGATGATGCCCTTGACTGCTTACAAGACGCAGAGTTCTTCTCGTCACAAGATCTGCGCTCAGGTTATTGGCAGGTTCCCTAGACTGAGACTAATCGCCCCAAGACAGCTTTCGCTACCACCGACGGCTTATACAAATTTAACGTCATGCCATTCAGGGCTCTGCAATGCGCCTGCCACTTTCGAGCGCATGATCAACAACATACTCCGTGGCCTGAAATGGCAGACATGTCTGTGTAGCGACTTTTCAATGGATCTTCAGTGCCTCGAGACAGTGCTCACTTGCCTCACCTCCGCCGGTCTACAGCTCAACTCAAAGAAGTGCTGCTTCGGCGCTCGAAAACTCCTAATTTTAGGCCATGTTGTATCTACAGATGGCATTCTTCCAGATCAGATGAAACTCCATGTTGTTGCCGAATTTCCTAAGCCGAAGACCTTGAAAGAACTTCGCAGCTTCCTTGGCTTATGTTCATATTTTCATTGTTTTATTCGCAACTTTGCCTCCATCATATCGCCTTTGACTGACCTTCTTGCCGGCAACAGCGACCTTTCTAGTTGGTCGTCAGCTTGTGACGATGCATTCGCCGCACTCCGCTACCTTCTTACGTCACCTCCTATACTGCGACATTTTGATCCTCTTGCCCCGACAGAAATACACACGGATGCTAGCGGAATGGGTCTCAGTGCTGTGCTCGTCCAGCATAAACCTGAATTTGATGAGTACGTCGTCTCTTATGCCAGTCGTGCGCTCACAAAAGCAGAAACCAACTATTTAGTTATTGAAAAATAGTATCTAACCATCATATGAGCCACGGGCAAGTTTCGATCCTATCTTTACAGGTGCCCATTCAGCGTGGTTACAGATCATCATGCATTATGTGCAAAGATGTTTACCCGCTACCTCACATAGATGATGCCTTTGACTGCTTACAAGACGCAGAGTTCTTCTCGTCACAAGATCTGCGCTCAGGTTATTGGCAGGTTCCCTAGACTGAGACTAATCGCCCCAAGACAGCTTTCGCTGTCGACGCACCCAATTAGTTCAGACCGTTTACGATTTTGCATTGACAATTAATAATGGTGAGCAGACTGACGCAATTTTTATGGATTTTTCAAAGGCGTTTGATAAGGTTTCTCACAAAAAATTAATTTTCAAACTAGACAACATACTCAAAAACAAGCAGTTAACTAAATGGATTTTATCTTACCTTCATAGCCGGCAGCAATATGTTGTATTTAAAGATAAATGCTCTGAGAGGGTTTCTGTGGAATCTGGCGTCCCCCAGGGTTCGGTACTTGGACCGCTTCTTTTTTTTTTATATATCAATGACATTGTGAATGACATACCCGTTAACATAAAACTCTATGCAGACGACTGCGTTATTTACTCCGAGGTAAAAAATTCTAATGACCAAATAAAGTTAAATGCCGCATTTCAAAAAGTTAAATCTTGGTGCGACAGTTGGCAGATGCCCATAAACTTTGAAAAAACCGTATTTATGTGCATTTCACACAAAAAAGAGCCCCTCTTGTTCCAATATTGCTGTAACAATATATACCTTGCTGAGGTGCAGTATTACAAGTATCTAGGGGTTTACATTACAAACAACTTGAAGTGGAATAAGCATATCGATTATGTTGCAGCTTGTGCTAACACAAGACTTTCATTTCTTAGGAGAGTTCTCAAGCACTCCACTCCCACTGTGCGCTTGCTGGCGTACAAATCAACAGTTCTACCCATTCTAGATTATGCAATCGTTATATGGGATCCTTTTACGTTGACTAATAAAAAGAAGATTGAAAAAATACAAAGAAAGGCAGCCCGTTTTATATACAACAGTTATGGTCGCACATCTGTTAGTGCACTGCTAGCGAGAGCTAATCTTCCACCAATAACTGAAAGAAACCGAATTTCTCGTCTCAAATTTTTATATCAACTAATTAAGAAGCACTATAAGATAGACACTAGCAAATTATTGTCTTTCTCCTCTGGGTATCCGACAAGGCATCGCCATAACCTCTCCATTACGCCCTTTCAAACACGCAATAACTGCTTCACGTATTCATTTTTCCCGAGAACAGTCGGGGAATGGAACAACCTAACTAATGACGTTGTTTTACAGCCATCACTTGAAAAGTTTGCCTTGTGTTTAACTGCATAATATAGATGTGTGCATATGTGTGTATGTATATGTATGTATATATGTGTATATATTTGAAATTGTGTAGAATTATCACCCGTGTTTTTTCCAATCCTTGCGTATGTGACTCTGTTTCTGGAATATTTATTATCCTGTACATTTTGAATTGTATTTTGTCGCCATGGTTGATCATGTATTCGTGAATTTTGTATATCAGTTTTTCCCTTTTTTTTGTAATTCCGAGAACTGTACTTTGCTTCCGTATTTTGTTCTTGTTCACCTAGGAATATTTATAATTGTACTTCCCACCCTGCTATAATCCCTCATG